AATATATATATATATATATATATAAAATTCTTTAATTTTTTAAATTTTTTAAAAAATTCCTTGGATTCCAATAAATTCCATGAGAATTTCCTAATTATTCTCTTTAAAAGAAATCCTTGAAAATCCATATTTTCTATATTTTTTCAGGGAATAGACATCTTGTCTCTCTCTTAACAATTTCTTACTGATAACGAGAAAAAAGCGATCTAGTGAAACAAATTCAAAAAAATATAAAACACCATATGTTTTAGATGGCTATCAAATTTACAAATGAACCACCTCAAGGCATAAGAGCTAGTTTGAAGAGAACTTACCAAGCGGTGACACAGGACATATTGGATTACAGTACTCAATCGCAATGGCCACCTTTATTGTATGCTGTTGCATTTTTACACACTGTAGTACAGGAGAGAAGAAAATTTGGACCACTCGGTTGGAATATACCTTATGAATTTAATCAGGCAGATTTTGCAGCATCAGTTCAATTCATACAGAATCATTTAGATGATATGGATCCTAAAAAGGGTGTTTCCTGGCCAACAGTCTGCTATATGCTTGGAGAGGTTTCACAATCTTTATTTTTTTATTTACTTTGATTAAATAAACAAGCTATAAGCGACATTATATTTTCCATATTTTTCAAACATTCCTACGTATAGGTCCAATACGGCGGTAGAGTTACGGACGATTTTGACAAACGCTTATTAACTACTTTTACGCATGTCTGGTTTTGCGATGTATTGTTACGACCGGGCTTTGAATTTTATCGAGGATATAGAGTGCCCCAAACGAGAAATCTTCAAGGATATCTCGATTATATCGACAGTTTACCCGCTACCGACACTCCAGAAGTCTTTGGATTACATTCAAATGCTGATATTACCTATCAGATCAATACAGCGAAAGGAATACTCGACACAATTCTTAGCGTACAGCCAAAAGAGGGTGGCGCGCAAGGAGGTGAGACTAGAGAAAACGTCGTGTACAAATTAGCCAATGATATGCTATCTAAATTACCGAAGCAATACAATTCCTTCGAAGTAAAGGAAGCACTTCAAAGAATGGGGCCATTGATGCCTATGAACATTTTTTTAAGGCAAGAAGTAGACCGGTAAGTCATTCATTCTTTCACTTTCTCTTTTATATATCTTTAAATAATATTATTATTTAATCATTTGTTTTTTTAATATGTTCTATACAAAGAAAACGTAAACACTTGAATAAAATTGGAATAAAAAAGAATTTTAATAGAATATGAATCATTTTTCCCTTTTTCTTTTTTTAATTAAAAGAACTTTTTTAGAATTTCAAGAGTTATCCAAGAAGTACGAAGCACTTTAACGGATTTAAAATTAGCTATCGATGGTACTATCGTGATGAGCCAAGGTTTGCGAACATCATTGGACTCAATGTATGACGCGCGTATTCCGGACAAATGGTTGAAAATATCTTGGGAATCTGCGACTTTGGGTTTCTGGTATACAGAACTTTTAGAAAGAGATCATCAATTCAGACAATGGTGCAATCACGGCCGTCCGAGAGTGTTTTGGATGACTGGATTTTTTAATCCACAGGGATTCTTAACAGCGATGAGGCAGGTGAGAATCAAAATAACACGTTGATAAAGAAATAATATTATATCGGTTCATACACATCATATATGCAGCTAATAAGAACATATTTACATAAATATATATCTGTAATAAAAATATACTTTTAATATTTAGATCATTCTAAAAGTTTGCAAGAAAAAATGAGTATAAAATCATACAGAAATAATGAGTCAATAAGTTAATAATCAAAAAAAATTTCGTGGCCATTATTCTTTCAAAACATATATTTTTATATTTCTTAATAAAATTTGGAATCACTATTTGTATTCTATAAAGTTTACTGCTGGTTATAATAACGTTTATAATAACGCACTGAATCATAAAAGATTTATGACGAGTATAGCTTACCATTATTATAATTAGCTGCATCTCTTTTAAGTTATATATTTTATTTTTATATATTATGTTTAATTTTTCACAACTAAATTTAAATAAATAAATTTTATAGGAAGTAACAAGAGCGCACAAGGGTTGGGCTTTAGACTCTGTAGTTTTGCAAAACGTGATTACGCGCTATAATAAAGAGGACATTAAAAGTCAGCCACAAGAAGGAGTTTACGTCCATGGTTTGTTTTTAGAAGGCGCATCGCTCGATCGAAAAGCCGGTAAACTCGTTGAGAGTAGACCAAAAGTTTTGTATGAACAAATGCCGGTTATTTATATTTTCGCAATAAACACCACTGCCGGTAAAGATCCGAAATTGTATGAATGTCCTATATATAGAAAGCCTCAAAGAACAGATTCAAAATACGTAGGTTCTATTGATTTCGAAACGGATTACAATCCTCGACACTGGACACTACGTGGTGTAGCTCTGTTATGTGATATTAAATAAAGAATTAGATAATGTATAATATAATTATATAAAGGTATAATGTAAATAATTTAAAATTATATCTATAATTAAAATCTATAATTAAATTATATCTATATAGTACACTTTTACAATATATTATATTGAAATTTGTTTATATTTTGTATTATTTCATCTTATATCGAAATAATAAAAAATGTGATAATGTAATTGGATATTTATATTGTGTTTAAAATGTTTATTTTATATGCAAAATACAAACATCTCACTATCTTTTTTATTCTTTTAATCATTTCTTCTAATACGAAACATACAAAAATATATTATTTAAAATAAAGTAAAAGTGATTATATTTCAATGTTTCCATAAATTTGTCTCTATCACAATTACATATATAAACAATATAAACTACAAAATAAATTTTTTTCTTCTTAGTAAACTTAATGATTTTATATCACACATATCTACATACCACTTACATTAAGCATCATTTAATGAATTAATATCAAAAAATCACGCGCGCGCGAATCTGAATAGTAAGATTTTATATATAAAAATATTATATAGCTGTAAAACTATATTCTATACAAAAAAAACTATATTAAAAGAAAATGTGTTTTTTGAAATATATAATATAATAAAATACAATACACATCTCTAACGTTTTAACACATTTTAAGCTTTCAGGTCATCATGAAATAAAAAAATATTCAACTCAAATCTTTCTTTGATAAAATATAAGACTGATATAAGATCGAAAAAAAATCTTTTATTAAAGTATTTTAATTAATTTTATTAATATTATACGAAATTTGATTTTTATATTTATTAATTCTATTTCAATCATATATTTTATGATAGAAGCAGCTGTAGAGTTTCTACCATCTGGGATAAGGCATTCTTAAAAGCTTCTAGATTAGTTTTTCCCATACCAATCTGTGTGAGAATGGGACAAGTCGTGAGCTCTATTGATTTCATGAAATAATTATTTTCTGCCATTATATCTTTTATATTCACTGTTACATTAACCTCTGATAATATGATTTCTAATCTAGATAACTTCTCTTCTATTATTTTATTAAATTGATCTATATCATCATAAGTTTCGTTGAAATGTATATAATGCAATTCTTTTAATATTTTATTGCGTTTATCCATCTCCAAAGAATCTCTCCATTTAGTGTGATATTCAGAACACTTAATACCTAAATTAATTTTTCTCATTGATTTTGCTAATGCATGGTAGCATTCTTCCGCCTTTCTATTCATTATTTCTGTTTGATCAGTTGCTATGGATGAGTTTAAACACTTTGCACACTTTGCACACTCTTCTTTATCCTTTGTGCCATTTACCTGATTCACAAGATCTTTTATTATTTCTACCATTTTTCTTGCAGCTTCGTGCTTTGCTTGCTTCTTTGTGGATGCTACTCCTTCTTCTATAAAACTAGATACCTTACATTGAATAGTGAAGATTCTAGCATGTGGTGGTCCAAAATCCTTGGTAAGAACATATTCCGGTTCCAATAAGTTATTTTCAGCACATAGATCCTAAAGAAATATGATAATAAGTAATCTTATAGTGATACATGATTATATAATATTAATTATACAACTGTGAGAGAGAAAAACAATCACCTGTAATTCACCTATAGCATTGACAAAAGGTACATTTGCTGGTATTTTTGGTGGAAGAGGAATAGAATGAAATGGTGACCTTGAAGGAGATACTGCTGGTGTATTGGCAGCTGGCAATTGTGGATAGTTTCTATGATTAACAATATCCGTTAACATAGCTTTAGCAGCTTCATGTTTAGCTTCCTTTTTACAACGACCTGTACCAGTTGCAGTGAGGCCATCGCATATAACCCGATATGTGAAAGTGTTCACATGACGGCCCCCACCATCGTGTATCAACTCATAATCAGGTATCATACCTTGCTTCACCATCATCTCTTGGAGAATGGAAACTGGTGTTTTACTCATAATTAATCAAAATGAAGACTGGTTCCTTTCAGAAATTTACACTATATCTTAGAATAGTGATACTGGAAAGTCACAGTTATTGTCCACTGCTCAAATGAAAAATAACCCTGGAATCATAACACATTTGCCATAATTAGCAACTTGCAATAGCAAAAACTTGTAAACAGAATTCCTCAATAGAATAAATCATCATCAGCACATAAATATATAGAAATATTTGCACTGCAAACAATTAACAATTTTACAAACATAATCTCTCTCAAGCAATCATATAAATCACAATAAATCTATTCTTTTAATTGTTTTATGCTTTATACTTTTCTTTCTTCTGCAATTTATAAATGTACTTATTTAATTTTATTTTAAATGAAGAAAATGCAAAAAAAATAGGACAAACAAGATATATGTAACAGTTTTGAAAAATCACTAATGTAAACAAGAAATCCATACAAATATATTGACATCACCTTTATTTATTTAAAGAAAAATGTACATGGAAATATAGTTGCTTTCCATTTATATCAAAACTCGAATAATTCTTACTTGTAACATCATAACTCAGTTGAATGCACGTTCCTTTTGATGCTAGCAAATGAGATTCAACTGAGTTTTTATGTGGTTTCTGCGCACGATCGAGACCATGTGCTTTAGTGAGTCTAATAGACTCATATTAGAAATGAGATTATGAATCTGTATTGTTATGCGATAGCTTTGTTACCAAAACAAGCAGGTCAATGACGTCATTGTCTGAGTATGAAATATTCACATAACTGAGTAACTCAGTATCACTTGAGTGCAAATGGAAAGCAACTATTAATACTCTGTATATTGTATCTCACCAGGTCTGAAAACAAGGCATTATCATTATTTATCTCTTAATTTATCTCTTAATGTTTAAATCTATAATATATATAAACAGAAATATACAATTTTAATTTGCTTTTGTATACGACTATTTCTTAATACCATGTGTAGGGGTATTCCTTCTTTTTTTTCGTGATATCAATATTAGATGTGAATTGTTTTGATCTTTGTGTGTATCATGTTTACAGTAGCGGTTTATCAGTATATATTTTTTATATATAATTAAATGCAATTAAAAACGATTTATAGATTGAATCTTAAATTCAATATTCTCTTCATTTAGATAAAATAAGAATACACTGCAACATTAATTTCTTACACATTTTCACGTTCTGCATGCAAACGGTCTGGAAAAAATACGTTTAAAAAACTTTACTTAATCAAGCCTATATATAAAATCCGAGAGATGGTGAAATATGGAATAGTTAGATTCAGAGATATTCGAAAGGGGAAAGACATAAAAAAGTGAAAGAACACTTAATAAATAAATTTCTCGGAAGTAGAGGTAGAGGTTAGATCAGAGTCAACCTTGAGTCAACTTTTAGTCAACTTTATACTCGCGATTTTTGCAACAAAAAAAAAAAAATAGATTGGCATTGAAGTAAAATTTCCAAATCCATTTTTTGTTTCTACACTGCACATTTGATGTTCTGTATTACCTGACTTCGAATTGTACTTAAAACTTACCTCGCCTCACCCTTATCTGAGAGCTCCCAGTCGACAATCCATAATCCTATATAATAGACAATATATTCGATGTAGAACGATTTTTATATACTCTTAGGTTTTAGGTTTTGTTGCGCAGAGAATATCTTGAGAATAGGATCATCTGCTGAAATAAAAACTGGAGGAATAAGAGGCAGACCCGTATATACTTATAGACGCACTAGGCACTAATTAGGGGCTCCGTAAGGATCCCCCGATAAGCCGCATTATTACATAAAATAATATAATATTCAATACGTGTACACATATCGATATATAATACGTTTGTACATCAATATACATACGCAATGTATATAATTTATTAAATATAATTTATACCTATCCAAGAGAAATTTATATTGTGGAATACGTGTGTGTATTTGTATAAAAACATAATATTCATATACAGATATTGAATTCTCATGAAAAAATAAGACATTTAAGACATTTTCATATAACAAATAAAGAAGAAATGTGAAAGAGAGGATGATTGTTGGTTAATGAATAATGATAAAGAAATAGTGGATTATTGCAAATTGTATAATCAAATTTTGATTAGAAATAAGCTTCCGGTAAATATACCAATCGCGATACTCGATATTTGTATTATTTCTATTTGAGCAGTAAATTTGTGGAATGTGAAAATCAATAAATCCATGTATTATTTTACTCACAATTAAAACACAAAATAAAAAGAACTGTGGTATAGATAAATTGTGGGCTACACAATACCTAATCTCCACATTATTTCCAACGAAATTATATATATATATATATATTTTTTTTTTTTTCTGCCTTCACTATCGTCATCTTTAGAAAA